TCTCCCGCCCTCCTCTCTCCCTCCCTCCCGGCCGCGGAGCAGCATGGCGGAGCCCGGGCAGCGGCCGCGCGGCCGCCCGCCGCCCCTCTGAGCCCGGCTCAGGGGCAGCTGGGCACACAAACCCGACCCCCGCCCCCGCCGCGCCCGCCGCTGCACTTGTCCCGCTGCGCGCCCCCTGGAGCGCGGCGCACCCCTGGGACCCCGTGCGCCCGGGGTCCCCACCATAATCCTGGGACCCCGCGCGCTGCGGGATCCCAGTGCTGCCCCGGGAGCCCCGCGCGCCCTTGGACCGGGACGGAGCTCCAGGACCTCCGCGTTCCCCGGATCCCCCCTTGCGCTCTCAGAACCCCGGGGCTCCACCGACGGGACTGTGCGCCCTGGTGAGGGGCCCCGCCCCAGAGGGTTCCCCTCTTCCAACAGACGGAGCCCCACCCAGAAGGGACCCCCAGGTTCTGCAGGGACATCCAGCCACGCCCCAGAGGGCTCCCAGCATCCCGCGGCTGGAGCCCCGCGCTCCAGAGGAACCTCCGTGCCCAGCTGGGGGCTCCCCGCCCCGCTAAGGCGGCGCCGCCCAGGAGGGTCCCCCGCGCCCCGCGCCCCGCGCCCCGCGGGCCCCAGCAGGATGCACGCCGCCCTGGCGGGGCCGCTGCTCGCCGCCCTCCTCGCCACCGCCCGCGCCCGCCCGCAGCCCCCAGACGGAGGACAGTGCCGGCCGCCCGGATCGGTGAGCGAGCGCCTGCCCGGCCACTCTCCCGGCCGCCCGGGCACTCCAGCCCCGTGGGGACGATGGTTTTGGGTCCTGCCTTATGTACCCACGTCAGCCCACCCGTTCCACCAACGCCTGCCGGGCGCTGCCTCAGGCGCCCTTCCCTAAGCTTCTGCTGCCGGGGCTCCAGCTCCGTGCCGAGAGCTTAGATGGGCGCTCCCTCTCCCGCTCCTTCTCCATACGCTGACGCTCCTCGCCTTTCGCCCTGCTTGGACGTTTCCTCTCAGTGCCCATTTGACTCGCTTCTTTCTTGCTTTTATCCTGTCTTTACCCCTCTGGTTTCTCTCTGCCCACTCTGACTCACTGTTTCTACCATTCCTTGCTCTCTTCTCTGACTTCCATCAGACCCTTCCCCGTCTCCCCTGCCCTTCCACTCTGACCTAAGGCAAACTTTCTCCCTGCTGCAGGTTCCCACTTTTCTCTCCCTCTCCAGCCCAGGCCCCAGCACCTACTCTTCCAAAAGTGCCCCTATTTCACAAAAAGGGGGGAGATTCCAGAGGAGAGGAAAAGGAAGTGCCAGGACATGCTGGCCTAATAGTTCCTTGGGGTTGTGTAATTACTGGTTCTCCTAATTTTCCTTCCAAACCAAGGAATCTCTTGGTTTCCCTCAGTATCCCTCCCTTGAAGTGTAAATTAATGCATTGAAAATAACCCTGAATTGGAGGCCAGGGCACCAGGAGACTGTTTTGTAGGGTTCTCACTGGCTTCCCTGTTAGCAGAGAATTAGTTGACCTTGGGCAAGGTACACCTCCAGCCTCCTGACTTGGGCGGAAACAGGGAGCTCAGTGGCCTGCTGGGTGCTCAAAGCGAGTTTATCTCCAGTATTCTGGGATTTACAATAGTTGCTTGTTGGTAACGTAAGGTACTAGTCCCTCTACCCACCTAAAACATATTTTCATTATGCTAAAATCAATTAGAAAAAATGTGGAGTTGATCTAAAGCTTGCAGGTGCTAAGTGGGCAGTCCTTTCTGGATGGAAAGTGACTTTGCCTGAGAGAAACGACAGTTGCTTTCGCATGCCCTTTAACCCCTGGCCCTAAACTGAATCTGGAGAAATGAGCCCTATTCCTAGCCCCTCTTTCACCCCTACACACACCCTTGTCAGAGCTTAGATCATAGAAGATGGCAGAGATTTGAGGTTAGAGACCAGGTACACCTATTTAGGGGAGCAGCCTGGAAAGCACCCAAAATATGTATTTTTGGGGGGACTAATTCTATAGGACCCTCCCTTCCCAAACCAGGGCCTGAGACTTCACTTAGCCTGCAGTTTTAAAACACTTTCTCATCTGTGGTTTCAGCTGGTGGAGCAGAGTAGCTGACACTCAGACCTGCCCTCCAAAAAGAAAACTGTATCCACCCTGATGAATGGGAAGTCGCTGTTTAAATAGGTGTGCTATTTTTAATAGGTGTTCTGCTTTCAAAGTGCTCTTGGCATGTATCTTCTAATGGTTGGATTTAAAGGTTATATGACTTCCTCCCTTCTTGCCAGAGCAGGACTCTTTCGCCCTCTCTTCACTCCCTCCATGAAACACCACTGGTGAAGGTTTGGCTTGGCCAAGCATGAATATTCTCAGGTGGTGTGGCCGACCTTGGCACTCGCAGTGAGAGGCGATCATAATGAGAGCTTCCTTCATTGCTCCTTTCTCTGTGCCTGGCACTGCTCTTCGGGCTTATTTACATATGTTGTGTCTTTTCATCCTTCCATCAACCCCTGAGGTAGCTAGCTACTCTTGCCCCCATTTTACGGATGGGGAAACTGGGTCTGTGGGAAGTGAAACAATGTACTCAAAATCATACTGCTAAGACAGGGCAAAGCCAAAATTTTGCCTGTGTGTCTTTCAACTTCCAAAGCCCTTGCTCTTTTCCGTGGCCCCATGTAGGTCTCTGCTTTCCATCCCCATCTCCTGCCCCCTCTGTGTTAACCTTGGTTTACTCTGCTGCCACCAGCCTCATTGCCCCCCTTCTCCTCTCCCTCTGCAGCAAAGGGACCTCAACTCCTTCCTGTGGACTATTCGGCGTGACCCCCCGGCCTACCTGTTTGGCACCATCCATGTCCCCTACACCCGCGTCTGGGACTTCATCCCAAACAACTCCAAGGCGGCCTTCCAGGCAAGCGCCCGTGTGTATTTTGAGCTGGACCTGACCGACCCCTACACCATCTCAGCGCTGGCCAGCTGCCAGCTGCTGCCGCATGGGGAGAACCTGCAGGACGTACTGCCCCACGAGCTCTACTGGCGCCTAAAGCGTCACCTGGACTACGTGAAGCTGATGATGCCCTCCTGGATGACCCCTGCACAGCGGGGCAAGGGACTCTACGCTGACTACCTGTTCAATGCCATCGCGGGCAACTGGGAGCGCAAGAGGCCCGTGTGGGTGATGCTGATGGTGAACTCACTCACGGAGACTGACGTGCGCTCCCGGGGTGTGCCAGTGCTTGACCTCTACCTCGCCCAGCAGGCCGAGAAGATGAAGAAGAGCACCGGGGCTGTGGAGCGGGTAGAGGAGCAGTGCCATCCGCTCAATGGGCTCAACTTCTCCCAGGTAGGCACTTGGCACCCGGCCCCTCAAGCTGGGGAGCCCCTGTGCGCCTTTGTCCTCTTCTCTGTCTTCCTCCTCCGGCTGCCAGAACCCTGTCCTTCTCCTAAAGGGAGAGGGTATTTCGGGCTGTGGAGTGGTTCTCCAGCTGCTTTTGGGGTGCTATGAGGGCAAACTGGAATGTGCTGGAATTGGGGGTAAGAGTTTGGGCGTTTGCTTCCCTCTCAGTGGTGTTACCTGTGGATACACACTCCCCACCTGCCGTGCTTGCCTGAGCAGAAAGAATTTCCCTTGGCGCATCACAGTGATGGAAACAAAAAGAGGGAGCTGCAAGGGTACGTCGGAGGCCCTGGGTCTCTGGAGCAGGAGGCTGTCCTGAGGCGATGGTGTGGGCACATCCAGGCAGCAGCGTGTATACAGAGGACACAGAGAGGGAGACATCATGCCTGACCTAGGCTAGGGGGCAGGGCAGGTGTAGGGACTGGACCTGGTGTCTGTGGTTGCTGTTTGACATTCACCAACGCTGAATTTCCCAGCTCTTTGCAAAGCTCCAGGCGACCCCCGGATGGCCTCCCTAGGCTGAGAGAAAGCCAGCCAGGATAGTTTTGGGGTTAATAATTTCAGAGAAATGTGTTCACTTTAAAGGTTGACAGTTCTAATTTCTGAACCTAGGAATGGGGGCAGGGAGAAGGGTGGAGCTTAGGAGGTTTAAAGTCTCCGGCTGCCGGAGACCCGATCCAGCAAAATGTCATTAAAAGCCCTGTCTCCATGGGCAGAGGTCACTTGCAACTCACTGGCCCTAAACTCAATTCTGAGGCTCTGGGAACAATGAGTTCACATCTGTCTCTTGAGAACAGGCTGTCAGTCCTGGGATGGGGCTCTGTATCAAGGCTCGTGGCTCCTGCAAGGAGGCCCCAGCACCGGGCCTGGGCCTGATGCCCCAGTGAGGAGTGAGGCGTGGCCCCTGAGCCAAGCTCCTCCGTTAGGGAAACAGCCCTATAAATTGGCCTGGCTAGAAGCTCTACCACTGGGACCCGAACTGCTTGCTGCTCCTGAGATGTTGCTCTTCACCAGGGCAACAGCAGCAGAAACTGATCCCCCTTCCGAGATCTCTGGCCTTTGTTTTTTCAGGGGAAATGCAATATTGTCCCCAGGGAGGTAAGAAGCTAGATTGATTTGCCGGCCAAATGAAAGGCGGGTTTGTCGGTTCTCCTGCTGGCTCTCCCATAATTGTGGAGCCCTTACCCAGAGGGCCCTGGTGGCAGGAATATTGGGGCAGTTAGTCACGCCCCGCAGGGTTCTGACTACGCCTGACTCCTTCTCCATGGGGGAAAATCCTGTGCATTCTCTGGCCCAGCGCTGATTCCTCTGAACATACCGGCTCTCTCCCTCTGAAGTGACTTTTCCCTTGCCAGCCCCGAGAGCTGATATTATCTGTGTCGGGCTCCCCAGTGCTCACCGCCCATCTCATTTGGGAGGCAGGCTTGTGGGAGGCCTCTCTGTTCAGAGGCCTCGGGCTGGCCTCGATATCTTTTTTAGGCTGGGGAGGTGGGGGACCCACCATCACTCTCAACACCCTCTTTGTACCAACCACAGAGGAATCTGCGAGGGCTGAAGGGAGCACACAAACCCTCTGGTTAAACAGCCCCTGGCTTTAATCTGTCTCTCTTAAAACAACAAAACTATCTTTCTTCGGGGTCTGGAAACACTGCTATTCAACCAAATGATGGCTTTGGTAGGTTGAAAACATTTGCTGGAAAGTGTGTGAGGTTATGTTTTAGGAAAAGTTCCTGAGAGCCATTCATCGGCCAGCGAGGAGCCCGCTGACAGTCTCCAAAGCCCATGTTTGAAGATCAAACAGACTCAAATCTCTGGTTTCAAAAATGCTCCCACTCCATCACCAGCCTGGGCCCACTCTTAAAATTGTTCTTGGGTCCAGCTCCTTGAGAGGGCTGCAGGAAGCAAGTCCCAAACAAAAGAAAACAGGTCCCCTTTTGGTTCCCTAACCTCTACACCCTTCACCACCTGCCAGAGAGTCCGACCCTACCAATTTGTCCTGTTATCATTTTGGAACGAAGTGATGAAATCTCTCCTCCATCCCTGGGGGCAGCCATGGGCTGAATGGGAAGGGAGGGATTCCAGAGCCTGGGTGGATGGGGTTGTTAGGGACCCCCCACCCCAAAGTCAGAAATGCAACAGCCTTCTCAGTAAAATTGTATGCGCGCGTGCACAGTTTGATATGAACATCTGTGATGCATTATTGTACCGAAATATCTGTTAAGTGCATCAGATTTTTATTTTTTCTTTCCTCTCAGCATTACTGTTATTGCAAAATATTTGGTGGCGGGGCAATGAGAGAGGAGGGTGGGAAATAGAAGGCTTAAAAGAGAGTGCCTTTTTGTTAAGACCTGGGAATTTCATTTTAATTTGAGTATTTCTCCAATTTTTATATTTCCCTTGCTAACTAGAGAAAAGAAGCTTACATTTTGGGACTATATGGGTTGGAGGAACCACTGAAAAGTTCCTTCCACCTTTGCACAGCTTGAATGATTGGGCTCATTGACCCTGGTCTCTGATTTTAATATAAACTGAGGGTGCTAGACCCAATAGCGCCTTGAGTTTGCTGTGTGACCTTGGGCAAGTCAGTTCTCTTTGGGCCTTGTTTTTTCCATCTGTGAAATGAGATACCAGGATTAGGTAATCATCCAAGCCCCTTCCAGCCCTGACATTCCATGGGACGATTATAATCAATTCCACGTGGCTGGCACCCTGCAGGAAGCGCCGTGTGCTTTTCCATTTTGTTGGATTCACATTACCCTGTAGTTGTCTAAGGTGAGCATTCAGAAAGGTTGGATGACTTGGTCAAGGTCACATGGTTAATAAGGACTCTAAAATGCAGGATGAGCTCTTTCTGCCACCCCATGCTGACTAGGTCTCCCGTGTCCTCCTGCAATCCTTCCTTCAGTCCTTTCTTCTGTTCCTTTCTCCCCTTTAAGACTTGAGCACTTAAAAGTTGACTTCTTGGAGAATTTATACTTACAGGGAAATTATTTCCTTTGGCTCTAGGGCTGGAGTGGGGATGGTGAAGGCTGATCCTCTAAAGATGTCGCTGATGTGTTACAAGCAGCTCAGCGTGGTGGACCAAGAGACAAGAGACTTGCCTCTAGATTTCAGTCTCAACTCTGGTTCTAAAGCAAATGACTTGTATATAACTTTGGTGTCCCTATCTATCAACTTGGGCGGTAATGACCAGCCTTTCACCACTGACCTGGTTTTGTGAAAGCGTGAAAAGAGGCTACGTGTGGGAAGTTACTGAGTGGGTAAAATGACTACTTAGATGTAAATCCTGTGCTCAGAAAAGAGTCAGGGCTCCAGGACCGAGAAAGAAAACGAAAGGAGGCTCATCTCTGTCCTGTTGGCACCTCTCAGCAGCCATGTCCACTGTCCATCCTTTGTGGGACACAGTAAAGCTGAAGCTAATAAGGGGTGGTGGTGGCCTGAGCCATGAGTCCAGATCTTGTGACAATCTTGGGACCTGCAGATTTCAATGAGCTCTGTCTGCTCCCTCCAGGGACTGGCACCAGCTGCCACTAACTTGCTGGGCTGATTAGGAGACCGCCTTCTCCCTCTAGGGGGCCTCAGTCGGCCCCTGCCCCTGTGGTGGAGGGAACCGGATTCTCCTCTAGACCTCTAAGCTATGTGGTTCTCTGAAGCATAATGAAAAACCAAGGACCCTGCCGTTCTGTACTTTGCTTGTTTTAACAAACATGCAACATCACTCATCCAATGTGTGCAGAGTCTGAACACTTGTTTGTAAAAATGTTTGTAAAATTCTACAGCTCCCTTACTAGGCAGTCAGAAACCACAAAATTATCATTTATTGAGCTCTGTCTCTGTACAGGGCGCTGCATTAGACCTCATGAGTACATCATCGCTAAACCTCATGGAGATGTAACAAGACATATCATCATATCTCTTTCACAGACAATAAATTGAGGCTTAAAAAGGTTAAGTCATTTGGCTGTGATTACACAGCCAGGCCAGGCAGTCTCAGGATTGAATCTCAGGTGTGCCTGATGCCTGCATCCATGCTTTTCAGGCATCTGAGAGATGACGTGATTTTTGTTTTTAATAGTCAGAATGCATGATCTGGTGATGTTAAGTGTGTGTGTTGGAGTAGTGGGAGATCATCACATCTTGTTTAAAAAAAATAAAATATATATACATAGAGAGATAATTGAAAAGTGCTGACACTGATTTTTCTCCTGGCTAATAAATTGGATCTGAAGGCGATTCTAAAATAAGAATTCCCAAAGACATCCTCAGCTTTCCAAGGGACCGTTGTGAAGATGGCACTCCTAACACAGGCTAAGCAGGAACAGTTGAATAAAGAAGGAGAAGGATCTCCTTGGTTTATAGTCAGAGCTCCTATATCTATACCCTGCAGGGCCAGAACATATTATTAGGTACTCAGTACATATTTGGGGGAATGCATGAATGGTCAGAAACCATGATGTGACCATCCCTGCTTTCCTTTCTTCCACCATCTGAAGAGAGACTGCCTAAGCCCCACTGAGGAGCCCCCTGCTTGAACTTTAATAGCTCCTGCAAGGACACAAAATGTGGAACTCATCAAGTGGGTCGTTCAAATACACAGCAAGCTGCAGCCCTGATCTATTCCTTCCTTGCCTGTGACTATGGGCTAGTCCTTTTCCCTCTTGGGGCCTAGGTTGCCCCCTTTGTCCCACGAGAGTGTTGGCTAGATGATTTCCAGGGCTGGCCCAGGTATGACTTCTGTGGTGGTGGTCATTGGCCCCCATATCTTGGAGGCCCTGGACCACCCTGAGATGTTGAGCCTCAGTTCTCCGCGGCTGGGAGGGGCTGGCAGGCTTGTCTTTGTCGGGCTGCTGCTGCGATCTACTCGTCTGGAAGCCTGTTGGTTCCAGTGGGTGATCCCGCCGCCTCGCGCTGCCAGTCTGCAGAGCGGAGAGAGCCCCAGCCTGTCT